AAAAAAAAAAAAAAAATCATGTATAAGCGGACCTGTGCAGTTCAAACGTGTTGTTCAAGTGCACATGATACTACATTCTCCTTCCCAATTTTGCAGATTTGCAGATAAACCTTAAAAATGTTTTTCAACCCCATTGCCCTACCTTCTTTATACCAGCTTAGGGCCTAAGATAGCTGGGTTTATTATCGGCCCGCAACTACCAGTCAGCCTTGTGATGTGGTCTCCCCCTTACCTCTGCCATCCAACGGTGGACCCCTCTGATCTAGCATGGGTCCTCTTGGCTCCGCCATTAGAGGTCTGGGCTCAGCTAATGGCCCTCCCCTCATTTCATGTGGGGGTGGGCCACGGCTGTCATGACCAGGGACATGGTGCATGGGTGGACCCTGATGAGGTGGTCCCAGATAACCTCTAGAGATGGAGGAAAATGTTATATTTTAAAACAGAACAAAACAACAACCAAAACTATTAACCAGAAGATCAGTAAGTAAAAAAGTCAAAGAACTGATGCAAACATCAGTCTCCGAATTCTAAGAGAATTAACACCAAACAGGTCAAAAAAAGTGCTAATGAGATGTAAATCCACGCATTCTAGAATTTCACATTTGGTCAGGGTGCTCATAATTGAGGAGGTAAGATATCCACTGTACAGAATGAGTATGTAGTATAGTGCTTAAAAACATGGGTTACTGTATGGGTTCAAATCCAGGCTTTATCACACATTAGTTGTGTGATCTTGGCCACATTTACTTAACCTCTCTATAGCTTCGCTTCTTCCTCTGTAAAATATGACTGGTATATTAGTATCAATCTCACAGGGTGGTTGTGTAGATTTAATGAGATGATCTAAGTAAAGTACTCACAGCAGAGTCAGAGGCATAATCCCCATTAGCATCAATCATTGTTCTTATTATCATTACTGCTATTATTAATATCATTACTACCATTATGCAAAATAAGTTTTTCCTGTTCAGGTACATATGCCAGAATTTCTCATTTGTAAAGATGGAGTAGCCATGGTTCATTCAAAATGACATACTCAACTATATGGTTCTGTCCAAGGAGAAGTGCTTAGTCTTGGACAGTGGCTATGAATACTTATCTATCTTCTGAGGTAGACAAATAGGTACCACTGGTACAGAAAGACTGTTCTCAAACCAAGGGAAAATTCTGATTCCTCCAGTCTTTTCCTTCTTTTTAAAACTTTTTTAATGTTTATTTATTTTTGAGAGAGAG